CCTGAACAACGCCTTTCACGTCACGAGTACTAACGGTGACGATCGAAGGGTCTTTGCTTCCATTGACATGAAGCTTGGTCTCCAGCGCACAACTGCCGCCATCTCTTCTTGTTGGTGATTGACGATGGGCCTCTCCAGCGATCGACGAAGGGGCAGAAGACATCGCGTGCGAAACGGAGAATCCAGAGATCTCCTTGCACGCGATCTCGGGAACTGGGAACAGAAATACTATGCCCTTGAACTTGCGTTTAAATAATGCTCCAATTACAGCATTAATTGACTCGGGGAGCACGCACAGCTTTGTGGACTCTCACACGGAAAATAAATTTGACTTGCCAATTCGCGGGTGCCCGTATTTACAGGTCGTGGTCGCCAACGGAGAAAGAATTACTGGGCTTGGCATTTGCGACAACGTTTCGCTTCAGAAAGATGAACATTATTTTCCTGTTAATTTATATGTTATTCCCTTAGAAGGATTTGAATTTGTATTAGGGGTAAATTGGTTGCGCACACTGGGTGCAATTCTCTGGGATTTTACCACGCTTACCATGACTTTTACGTATGATTGCATGCCTGTAACGTGGAAAGGGGAATTAGTTTCGCCGAGCCACTTACTAAATGCCATACTACCCCAAGTAAGCAGTGGTAATGCTCTGGAACACATTTTAACCAATTACTCTGACCTCTTTCAGGAACCTACGACATTACCGCCCACTCGCCAGTGCAATCATCGCATTACACTGGTTATGGGCGCAGACCCGGTAGCACTTCGACCCTATCGCTACCCCTAGGCGCAGAATGATGAAATTGAGCGTCAGTGTAATTCCATGTTGGAGTTAGGCATTATACGGCCTAGTCGTTCGTCGTATTCTTCCCGGTCTTGTTCGTACTCAAAAAAGATCGGACGTGGCGATTTTGTATCGATTACAAGGAATTAAACGCTAAAACTATTAAAGACAAGTTTCCGATTCCGGTGATCGACGAGCTATTAGATGAATTGCATGGTATTCGCTTCTTTATGAAGTTGGACTTACGGTCCGGGTATCATCAAATTCGTATGCACCCAGAAGATGTCGAAAAAACAGCATTCCGGACACACCACGACCATTTTGAATTCATGGTGATGCCTTTTGGTCTCTGCAATGCGCCGTCAACATTCCAGGCTCTCATGAACGAGGTTTTTCATTCCGCCCTTCGTAAATTTGTTTTAGTTTTCTTTGACGATATTTTAATTTATAGCAGATCCTGGGCGGAACATATCGCACATGTACGGACAATGTTGGATCTCCTCCGTCGTCATCAATTGTTGGTTAAAAAATCCAAATGTTCGTTTGGTGTCGACAAGGTATGTTACTTAGGCCACATTATTGACGCCGACGGCGTTTCCATGGATTCGAGCAAGGTCCAGATGGTCTTAGATTGGCCACAACCGCAATCCGTTAGAGGTCCGCGCGGCTTCCTTGGTCTGGCGGGTTTCTACCGCAAATTTATTAAGGATTTTGGCATAATAGCTGCCCCCTTGACATCACTTCTCCGTAAGCAAAGCTACGTCTGAACGCCAGAGGCGACAACATCATTTCAAGCGCTAAAAATCGCGCTTACCACCGCACCGGTGTTACAACTCATGGATTTCTCGAAACCATTTGTAGTGGAGTGCGACGCATCAGGAGCCGGCGTGGGAGCAGTTTTACAACAAGATCTTCACCCGGTGGCTTTCTTCAGCCGAAAACTAGCAACTCGACACCACAAACTTGCCTCGTATGAACAGGAGTTAATCGGGTTATCCCAGGCCATTCGACATTGGCAACACTACTTTTGGGGCCGTCCGTTCACGGTCCGAACCGACCATTATAGCCTGAAATTCCTTTTTCAACGTCTCACGACGTCTCCACATCATCATTGGATCAGTAAGCTTCTGGGTTATGACTTTGAAGTGGAATTCCGTGCGGGCCGCCTCAATACCGTTGCAGATGCCTTGTCACGACGTGACGTGGCCGAACCTTCTCTAATGGCTCTTTCAACGTCGATTTCCCCAATTCTCGATTCTATTCACCGGGAACTCGCCGCTTCACAAGCCGCTCAATCATTACGAGGAAAAATTACAAACGACGTCGCGGGGCCTCACTGGTCACTTGATGGGGACCTCATTCGCTACAAAGGTAAGATCTATATTCTCTCGGATTCTCCACTAATTCCAGTTATTCTTGTAGGGTTTCACGACGTCTCACACGAAGGTGCGCAGAAAATTAGTTTTCGCATCTCCTGGGAGTTCTTTTGGATGGGAATGCGTGGCGCCGTTCGCGACTTTGTCCGAAAATTCCCTACATGCCAACGTTGCAAATAGGCAAACCTTCTACCGGCAGGTCTCCTACAGCCCCTTCCGATTCCAACACTTATCTGGAGCGACATTTCACTGGACTTCATTGAGGGACTGCCAAAAGTCCAAGGCAAATCGGTGATCCTTTTCGTCGTCGATTGACTATCCAAGTACGCCCATTTCATTCCCTTGGGCCATCCTTATACAGCAGCATCCGTTGCCGGCGTGTTTTTCTCACACATTGTCAAACTCCATGGCATTCCAGAGTCCATTGTTAGTGATCAAGACGTCACCTTTACAAGTGCTTTTTGGAAAGAACTGTTTGGATTTAGCGGTACGACTCTCTCATTCTCTTCGTCTTATCACCCACTGACAGATGGTTAAACCGAGGTCACGAATCGCACCGTTGCTATGTATCTCCGATGCCTAGTGGGAGACTGCCCAAAGAAGTGGATCGATTTCCTACCTTGGGCAGAATACTGTTACAACACCTCGTTCCACTCTGCATTACAGACTTCTCCCTTCCGTGTGGTTTACGATTGCGATCCTCCGCGACTCTTGTCCTACGAACCAGGGGTGTCGAATATTGACGTGGTTGATGTTGCGGCGCTTCGCGATCGCAACGCTTTTCTCGCCTTGGTTAGGGACCACCTCCAGGCTGCTCAGGTCCGTATGGAAAAGTTCCACAACCGTGCCCACTGCGATGTCACGTATGATGTGGGGCAATGGGTGTGGCTACGCCTACATCCCTATCGTCACTCAGTCAATCGTTGGGTGTTCCACAAGCTCTTTTTGAAGTTTTTTGGTCCTTTTCGAGTACTCCAGCGCGTGGGCGCTGTCGCATACAAGCTCTCCCTTCCTTATTCCAGTCGGATCCACGACGTGTTCCATGTTTCCTTGCTGAAGCCTTACGACGGTGATCCGCCGAGTGTTGGACCCACCCTGCCCCCGTTGCACGATGGCCGGGTTCTGCTTCAAGCCCACATCATGTCTCACTCCCGGTTGAACCGCGGCGTTCAGGAAATTATGGTGCACTGGTTTGGTGCCACTCCGGAAGATGCGTCTTGGGAGCCGTTAGTTCTCTTTCAGTCATTGTTTCCGGACTTCAAGCTTGTTGACTTGGAGGGGTGTGATGATGCATTCATAGGAAAAACTTACCACAGACGCAAACATCGCAAGCAATAAGAAAGTAGTAAAAAGGGAATAAGAAGCCAAGCTATTTATAGTAATCTTTTCCTGTTTATTTTTTTATTTAGTTTTTTTAAGTTCCTATTGTTTTGGATATGTACGTTAAGTTAACGTTAGGCCTTCAGTATATATAGCTTTAGAATGACTGAAGGTGGGTTATCGAATTAGAATTTGGAAATTGTCTTATGACATTTGGGAGAGGAAGATCTCTAAAACTCTTCAATCTATTTCTGTTTTTTCTTGTTTCCTTCGCTGTCTCTACAACCATAGGGAAATCAAGAGAATCCGTTCCCTCGGCTATCCTAGTGACGCGTTCACAGATTCCCGAGCCCATAACACGCACTCTTTTACAACCCCATATAGTGATCATATCCCACTACTGCTTATCCGGATCCAGGCCGATCGGACTGTGAGGAGGGGACGCTTCTGTTTTGATAATGTATGGTTATGAGAAGACCGGTGCAGGGAAATTGTTACGCATAGCTGGGATAAAACTGTTGGAATGGATATTTTAAACCAGATAGAAGCTATAGTGCTGATATATGGAAATGGGGTCGAAACTATAACAGAGAATTTAAAAGGAGAATTGATGATTGCAAGCAGCGGTTTGACAACCTTCGATCAAGAAGAGATTTGAATGGGATGGAATAGTACATCCACACTGAAAAAGAGCTCCTTTATCTTCTGGATCAGCAACATGTGTATTGGAAGCAAAGGGCCAAAGAGCATTGGTATCGGGGTGGCGATATAAATTCCAAAATTTTCTATAATTCTATGAAAAAGCAAAAAAAAAAAAAAAAAAAAAAGAAGAAAAAAAAAAGGAGGAATAAGATAGTTAAGATTAGAAATGAAGAGGGTGACTGGATGGAGGGTCACCAAGACATTGGTCAAGTAATGATGGATTATTTTAACAGTTTTTTTCAGTCAGAGCAAGGATCAATGGACGGCGTGCTCAATTGTATAAACACAAAATTATCTCTTTCGCAGAACGAAATACTGCTAGTGCTTGTTAGTATCGAGGAGGTGAGGAAAGCCGTTTTCCAGATGCATCCCAATAATTCTGAAGGACCGAATGGGTTTAGACCAGAGTTCTATCAACACTTCTGGGATATTGTAAGAGGTGAGGTCACTCTATTTTGCCGTCAATTCTTAGAAACTACCAGACTGCCAGCGAAGGTGAATAATACTTTCATTGTTTTGATTCCGAAAAAGCAAAATCCAGAAACAATTAAAGACCAATAGCGCTATGTAATGCTCTGTATAAGGTTGCATCCAAAGTTTGTGCTAATCGCATGAAATCAATTTTAGAAGGATTGATTTCTCAAGCACAGAGTGCGTTTGTTCCGGGTCGGTTAATTTCAGATAATATCATGTTGGCTTATGAGGCACACCATGATTTGAAACGTAAGACACAAGGACGCGAGCGAGTGACAGCGCCAAAAGTGGAATGAGTAAAGCGTATGATCGCGCTGAATGGTGATTTTTAACGACACTGATGACTAAATTGGGGTTTGATCGGAAGTGGATAAATATTTTGTATGAGTCTAGCAGCACAGTGAGGTACCATATTTTGCATGAAAACCAGCAGCTCGGTCCAGTTGTGCCGGGTAGGGGACTGCGCCAAGGGGATCCTCTATCCCCGTATCTCTCTCTTTTGGTTGTCGAAGGATTGAGTGCCCTTATTGAGAAGCAAGTGAGTTCTGGTTTGTTGCATGGGGTCACTGTTGCACGTGTAGCCCCACAGATTTCACATCTTCTATTTGCAGACGATTGCTTTCTATTCATGTGTCCCAATAATGCGGAGAGTTTTCGTATGAAATGGGTGCTTGATGCGTACTCGGCTGCTTTAGGCCAAAGTACTAATTTTGATAAGTACATTGTCTGTTTTAGTTCAAATGTCATGCAACAAGTGAGGGATGACGTGGTTGGTGTTCTGGGTGTTGCTGAAGGAGATACTACAGGAAGGTACTTGGGCCTCCCGTCACTAGTTAGAAAAAACAAGAAAGTGATCCTGGGCTTTTTAAAGGACAAAGTTTTAGCCAAGGTTCGTAGTTGGAATGCAAGGTTCCTGTCTCGTGCAGGTAGGGAGGTTCTTTTGATAATAGTACGTGATCCAAGCTATGCCATCATATGCAATGATGGTATTTTACTCCCGGTTGGTTTGTGCAAGGAGATTGAAATCATTATGAACGAGTACTGGTAGACAAGGATGGCAGGGCGTGGAAGGGGTATTAAATGGATGTCGTGGGAGGGGCTGTGCGCACCCAAGAAGTTTGGTGGCATGGGGATTGTGTTTATAAGGCTCACTACTATTCTAGAGGTACTTATTTTGACGCAAGCTTGGGTAGTAACCCTTCGTTCGTATGGAGAGGGTTGCTGGAGGTTCAATGTGTGATCAAGGAGGGTTGCAGAAGGTGTATATGTGATGGTAAAAATACTCGGATTGGATGGGACCATTGGTTGTCGGTCGATACGTACAGAACCTTATATTCATACTGCATTACCAGAATCTATTGCTACTGCCCCCGTTTCTTCTTTCATGAATGCACAGGGCTCTGCATGGGACACCGAGTGTGTAAATGACATATTTGAAGCTAGTGATGTGCAAAATATTTTGAAGATTCTGATCAGCAACCACCAACGGCCTGATTCGTGGACTTGGCATTGGGATTCGAAAGGTGCCTTTACAGTGAAGTCCTGTTATAAGCTATTGTTGGGAGAATTTCATGGCGATATGCCCGGGGCAAAGTTATGGAACTTGGAAATTCCTCCGAAGATTCTGATCAGCAACCATCAACGGCCTGATTCGTGGACTTGACATTGGGATTCGAAAGGCGTCTTTACAGTGAAGTCCTGTTATAAGCTATTATTGGGAGAATTTCATGGCGATAGGCCCTGGGCAAAGTTATGGAACTTGGAAATTCCTCCGAAGTTTAAGGTCTTTTGTTGGCAGCTGGTTTCATCATTCTTAACAACGCGGGATGCTTTGAATGCTAAACATGTTCCTTGCATGATTAACTGTCATATGTGTGGTTGCTGAAATTTGCAGAACGCAGCACACAGTGATGTCGAAACTGAATTTGTAACACAAACAATCTGTAATGCAGTTCGGACAAACAACCCTAATCTGCGAGGCACTTCTCAATTTTAGAATTTGCCTAAATCCACTAAAAGCTCAATATTTAAAGTACACTGTTTGGAACCTGAGATTACACAATAGAATGATCTTTCCTACCAAACTATTGAAACTTAAACACATGTACTACTTTCTAAGGGAATTTAGTAACTCTTCTCAATGACTCTCGGGCCTCACAAGATTAATGTTGAATGCGTGAGTTCTGCAATAAAGGACAACCCCTCACTACAAGAAATTTCACATTTAGTGACAACAGAAGTTGTCACTAAAACTATCAATTTTGGTCACTGTTGAAATTAGTGACCATTTTTTGAAGTCGTCACCTGTCGTCACTATATCCTCCGTCACTATTGTAGTAGTGACGACTTTTGAAAAGTTTTCACAATTACTCACTACTTTGTGACAATATTTACTTTCATTACAAGTAGTATTTGAGTGATAACGATAGTTGTCACAATAAATGTATAATTTGTGACCAAATATGTTATTACAAAATATTGTTCTAGTGACAACTAAAATCGTGGCAATTAATTATTTTATTGTGACAACACTTTAGTCACAATAGTTGTACTTATTTGTGAGAATTGTTCTTGACGCAAAAAGATTATTAGTGACCAAAAAGTTGTATCAATAATTACTTTGTTGTGAGAACAATCATGGTAACAAATGTTGTATTTATTTGTGACAATAGAAGTTGACTCTAAAACACTCATTAGTGGTAACTAAAGTCATACAACAATTCAATTTCTTGTAACCATCATCTTCGTCACTAATATCTTTGAAAATAGTGGCAGCGTATTTGTCATTAAAAACTAAAAATTAGTTGCGAAATTTGTGTCACTAAAATTAGTTGAAATAGTGTCACTATTGTCAATCTTAATGTTTTTATAAGTGACCATTACAGGGTCACAATTATTTTTTCAAATAATACTAGCCAAATGCACAAAATATAAAATTAATTATTTCAAAATCTTGTCATAATTAAATATTTTAATTTAATTATTATTTGGAATAAAATAATGCATGTATTCAACAAATGTTACTCGTTAAATTAAAAAACATATATATAAAAAAGACATCATTGTCTAACAAATATACTTTGTAAGAAATACAACTGAATTCAAATAAAAACGTTTAAAAATAAAATGTCTTGATTATTCTTCACTTGAGGTAGTTGATGGAGATGCATTGCTTAGGATATTTTGAAGTCCTTGATTGCTTGCTAAGTGAGCAAAAATTTACTTGATTTCAGCAGCTTGTTTCTCTAAAGCTGTTTGTGCGATTTCTTTAAATTTTGCAACTTCTTCTTCTAAATTCTTTTCACGCTTCTTTGAAGCTTCTATTTCTGCTTGAAGAAGAATCTTCTCTTGGGCTTTTGAAGTTATCCCCTTAAGACCTAAACCACGTACATAGCTTGACTTTCTTTTTAATACCAAGTCAAAATGCTCAACAAGTGGTAGAGGTGCAGCTGAAATCTTTTCTTTATTCTTCTCTCCCTCTTCTTGAAGTTTATTCTACAATTAAAATAAATATTAATAATTAAGTAAACTAATTTAAGAAATGTCACAACATTTATATGACTATATTTTTCATACCATGATTTCTTCTCCATTTGGAACGGACCATGTTCCATTAGATTTTTTTCTTGATGTCTTCCAAACTTCAACAGCATCTGGCCATTCATTAGAATCTTTGTCTTTCTGTAAAATAGAGAATAAAGATAACAAATAGAAATAATTAACTACAAATTTTATTCATGAAAAATCATGACTTCAATTTTTATTAAAAACAATTTTGATCTCTTGATTTCCTCTAAAAAATCATCATATGCAATTTGTACAATTGACTTTGTACCACTAACGTAACTGATTTGATCTCTTGATTTCCTCTATTATTTTTGTTTCTTTCGCTTTGGTCTTATATATATAAAAAGTTATATTAATAAAAAAAATTAAGTAGAACAGAATCAAGAGACATATAACACCACAAATTGGGCAACAATATCTACCAATTAAAATTATAATATAAAATAATTATAAATTCAAATTACCTTAAACTTTTGAGTCTCTCATTTGTTTTCAATTAGCCATCTCCAATCATCTTCATTGACATCATTTGGACAATCTTTAAATTTTAGATAGCTCTTACGTAAAAGATAATGTCTATTTTTATATTGTAATTGTACTTGGTTCATGACATGAAGTTGCACATCATTCGACAAATTAAATTTGTCCTGCAAGTCATATATAAAAGCATATAAATTCATTAATATGAACAAGTAATTCTAACTTTATTCGAAACCTAATATAATATTGCATTTTTTAAAGTTTTAGTCTTACATTTAAAAATACCCACATTGTATTGACATCGTCGTTAGGAATCTCTTTCCAACTAGAGACGCGAAGTGGTGCAAATTGCCGAATGCACATAGTCACTTCAGCATTGAACAAATTAGCATCTTTACCACAAACGTTATGGTATGGTGGAGGAAATAGAATACATATTTCTTCGCCTCTAGCTTTTTTCTTGGCAAGTCCTGTATTGATTCTTCTCCCTCGACCACATTTTTTAATTTTATCGTTTCCTACAGTAAAATTAAAAAAAAAACAATATATAAGTATACAATATTATATATAAAAATAAGATTAAATTTTAAACTCAAAAACATTAAACAATCACATCACCTGTGCCACCAATAACATGTTCTTCTACTGTAGGTGTAATGTTTGATGCTTCAACTATTCCCGTTGAGTTGTTGATTAGAAACTTCATTGTTTTGAGTCTCGTCCACCACATTAGTAATATGCTTATCATTTAAAATTATTCTTGATCTCAATCTTTTATTACGGAGATGTTATTTTACTTGGAAATTGGAGAATAAAAAGTATTTTTTTTTCAACTCCCATATTGGAGAACACTTGAATTACGGCATAATCTAGATGTCATGCATATTGAAAAGAATGTGTGTGATAACATAATTGGAACTTTATTGAACATTGAGGGGAAAACAAAGGATACTATACACACTCGTTTGGATTTAGAATTACTGAGTATACGTCTTGAGCTTCATGCAACTCCCACAAGTAATGGCAAGTATGTGATCTAATACACTATCTAAAGAAGAAAAACGAAGATTTTTTCAATTCTTAAATGATCTAAAGGTTCCAGATGACTATTCATCTAATATATCTCGATGTGTAAAAATCACTGAATGTAAAATTTTTGGATTGAAATGTCATGATTGTCATGTGATTTTACATAAATATCTCCCTTTGGCTATACATAGTTTGCTAGGTAAAGAGGTATGTGAAGCTTTAATTGAGTTGTGCACATATTTTAGAGAGTTATGTGCTAAAGTTTTGCGTATTGATGATTTGAAGAGACTTGAAACATCAATTCCTTTTACACTTTGTAAGTTAGAAAAGATATTTTCTCCCTCATTTTTTGACAAAATGGTGCATTTAACAATTCATCTTGTGACTGAAGCTAAACTTGGTGGGCCCGTACAATTTTGATGGATGTATCCAATAGAACGATATTTGCGTACACTGAAGTCATATGTGAGAAACAAGGCACGACCAGATGGATCAATTGCTGAGGCTTATATTGTGCAAGAATGCATGCATTTTTGTTCTAGATATTTGCATGGATCTAAAACTACATTGAATCGTGTTGGGAGAAACTATGAGGGAAGTGATGTCTCCTCTCATTCTGGGTTACAAGTTTTTTCACAAGTTAGTAAGCCTTTGCTTGGAAAAAAATATGATGAGTTGACCTTAACTGAATTGGCCGAAGCAAGAATGTATGTGCTAGAAAATTGTGAAGAAGTTAGAGAGTTTGCCAAATAAGTTTCCTTAATTTCCAAGTTAGTCACTATATATATATATATATATATATATATATATATATATATATATATATATATATATATATATATATATATATATATATATACAAACTTGTGGACAAATATAAGCCATTAGATTAGATGAGATTAATGGTTTGGATGTAATATGCAATAATTCACGCCAGCCTAACATAGCATGTGATAAGGGCAAATCAGACAA